TTTAAAGCAATTTTTAAAATAATAACTTAAAGTAATAAATTATTTTTAAAAAATACTTAAAATAATCATTTTAATTTTTAAGTAATTACACGTAAAAATCAATAAATTGCTTTCCTACAATTCTGTAAAATCGTGCAGACTAGTCTTAAATGAAACCAAAGAACTACGATCACAGGAGTACAAATCATTTGCGATAAAATCGGTGCATATAACACTGAACGATCGACGATGATCCTGGGATTCGAAATAAGTCGGTCAAAACGAAATCAATAAAATTCGAAAGAAACTCCATTGGAATCAGACAAAGCAGTCTCGCTGGTACTAAAAAGTTTGTAACTGAAAATTTCAGAGGACAATGTATTATTTTCAGTGAAGCAATCGATTGTGTATTGATCAGGTATTCAACGCAGAATAACAATCTATGAATCGCAGTTGGCTTACCTATCGGAAATGTCGCGCTCGAGGTCGATCATGTCTTCCGGTATCGCGCGTGAGTGGTTCGAATGTGTGTTCTTGGAGGCGTTTGCGAGGGTGGTTGTGAGAGTGTTTGCGAACGTAGTCGCGAATGTGCTCGTGAGGCTAGTCGTGAGGTTGGTGGTAACAGAGGCGGCCTCCTTTTGGCAGAGGCTCTCATGCGGCTGACTGATCTGCGTGGAGGCCCCCGGACTCGGGGGTGGGCCACCCCTAGGCCGACATTTTGGGAAAAGTCGGTTCAAGTCTGCGTTTTCCAAGATCAGGCTTGTCATCGCCACGTCACATTCATATCTTTCAACAGCCTGTCCATTCTGAAACATTGTAACACATCCAAGCTTGAACATTCTCTCTTCCTTTCCTGCCTTCAATTTAACATTTAGGCAACCGCCTAGAAAAACTATGGCCAGAACCTTTCTCATTAACTTCGATTGAACTCGTTTAACTGATTTGAAAACTTTCTTTTCTAAATGTAAGACAACTATTTGACGAATTCCAAATAACCCCTATTCAAGACTTCCTATTGGATCGATGCACAGATTTTGACGTTCTTTGTACGTGGTTAACAAAAGCATTGTTTTCTTCGAAACAAATAACAGCTGTTTCCAAACTATTGTAAGTGTATAAAGTAGTGTGTAAAGGACACTTTTTTTCTTCGTTTGTACTTAGCTTCGGTTTAGCCAACGAGCAGTTGAGAACTCTTTTCATTTCTCATAAAAAAGCGTCAAAGCTTTTTGCATCAACCCAATAAATAACAAAAGAAAAATCAAACAAAATAAAAGGCAATGTGTTGCGAAGGGAAAAAGAGATCTCCCCGTTCGGTTGGCCAAGTGTTAATTATAAACTTTCACGAAGAAAATATTAACATTTGCCGTTAGGAAACGCAAATGGAAAGTCGATCAAACGTTATTCTCTAAAAAATACACTTCTTTATTAATTTCATTCGAATTCTCATTGGAAAATATTCAAAGTTAACGTAAAACAAAAGAATAAAGTAATAATGTCGATTGTTTCGTTTAAATGTTCACTGGTACACGCTGTTCAGCTTGAACGGTGCGTTTTAATTTGGAAATGTAAAATACGAAACATAAAATAGGAGAGCTGTATTTAATTATTTTTGTTTCACCTGAGAGAGTGAAATGGAAACGATATTTTTCTTTTTCAGCTGTAGATAGCATTGCAGGGGTACCCGGTTAACTTTGAATTCGTGTGCGCGACACAAGCGTGACCAACAACACCGTACAGACACTGCCACATTCATGCAACGTCATCTTTCTCACACTCGCCGACTGCCAGAGACAAGCTTCGTTGATGAGTTTCGGGCGAAATTTTTCAATACTGACCTAGTCCACGATGTTATCCAATTCGTCACATACCTAAAGTTTTCACCGGGAAGATATTTCTAGACGATTGGTGACATGTTCATAACGTACATGTAAATTATAACAACAATTTGATTTTCATTAAAGCGGACCATCGAGTTCGATCCTTTTCAAGCTATTTAGGTCATTCGTATCAAAGGCAACGTTACAACGTCCAGTTTATTGATATTTACTAACAAAATACACTTTTTTTTTAAACAAGCTCCAGCACATCGTAACTGGGATAATATTGATCTAGGTCAGTGTTAAAAAATTTCACACACGACGTATTTTGGGCAAACCCTGTGTTTCAAACTTGACTTTTTCGGTAAGTCATACTGTTGTTATTTGTTTTTGTTCTCACGTGTAAGGGTAACGCAAGAGTTCCGAACTATGTACTGATTAATTGTTTAGGTAGATTTCAATTGTTTAATAAAAAGAAAGTTGTCGAAAAATAGATTTTATGTACTGTAGTATACATATAATGTGGTCTGTATTCTGAATTGGTAAGTTTGTAAATATTAATATAGAGTTCCCTCTTTAGTGTCGCGTTGGTGTACTTTTTCCCATGTTATGTGGGAGAAAATAGCGAGAGAACAGCGTCTCTCATTCCATTGTTCACTTTCTCTCGCATCCGTTCAAGTTGCGAGTTACGTTTAATGAAATATTACATTCGTCGCCCTCCGTAACGTCTCGTTTTGCATTTTAAATGTGTTACATGAGTGGGATGTTTCAACGTTAATCATTTCCGTTGGTTATGGTGCAGCATATGCAACAGCCTCTTTCGTGCCCCATAAGGTTTCGATTTGCATCTCATGTACCTCCACATGTTACGTAGCGTTATAGTTAAAGTGACAGTCAAGTTAATTGGTCAGTATTTTTGTAGAAATTTTTAGTATTGTTTCTATTGAATATCCGATACTTTAATAATTTAATGAATTATAATCCTCTTAATTAATGAATTATAATTACTGACTGTTAAACATTTTGTCAATATTTTTATGATAGTAACATTTATATGCTGCACCGTAGCAAATAGGTACTAGTTGTTTCTAAGGAAATTATTAACGGCAAAATGTCGGGTGTATTCGTGACGCAACAGAGAAGCGATGTGGAAAAAATGTTTAATAGTCGTCTGTCTGCTTTTGTAAATGTTCCAACCCAACAGACAGCTGCTACTCTTATTAGATAGTTCTTATTTGTGTTTGAATGTGGAAATTTCAGTTTCAAAGATGCAACGGTAGAGTTCTATATTTTAAATGGAACTACATACATACATAGGTACTTTTTAGTAGTTTATATATTAGCACGTTTGGATACAGATCCGGCAACCTACAAAGTACACACTCGATTTTAAACAACCTCTGAAAAACTGTGTGCCCAAATTTACATTTTTGTATGGACATTAACGTATTTGCTCGTATAAGACACAAAGTGTATCGCAAAATAAGTTAAAAGGCAACATTAAGGAAAGAATGTTTAATCCTCGAACCATGTAATATTCTTTCAAATCAATTTCTGCTGAAATGACTATGTCACAAGAAAATAATTGTTTCAAAAGAACGAACTAAGAATAAATCAATACCGAATTAACAAACACTTATTAATTTAACAATGAAAATGCAATTTTTGAAATAGAAACTCTAAGTCGTCATATTTCGAAAATCAATTTTCCTAGAAGCTAAAAAAGCTAAGAAATTAAGAAAATTTTAATTTCTCCTTTTGTAACTTATTTTGTGTATATACGTACGTGTACTTTTTGCGATTGGATTGTACGTTATGGAACACCTTATATAAGTATCTCGCATATTCAGTGTACAGTGGATGAACAACAAGGATTATTTATAGAGATAAAGGGAAGCAATAAATTCAATTTGGATTCGCATGGATGTGTTCCCGGCAACACTCTTGCTGCGATGCAGTAAATAAATATAAAACCGGTTAGTCCCAAAGTAAACATAAATGGTGACTGAGTTATTGATTGAGTTATTGATAGCCAAGTACGTGCATCACATGAGATATTTTCAGTGCACAACCTTCCGCCCTTGATCCTGAACAACGATAGGAGATGTGTTGTTTTTTCGTTGTAAACTTTAAAAAATGTTCGTCGGTGAAATGTATTTTCTAGCGAGGCTGTATGGATTAAAAAAATATGACACCAGTTGAATCAATACAAACGGAATAAGACGCTTATACTGTTGGGTCTATAATTATTTTTAATTACTAGCTGGATCCAAATATTCTGAGGTTTTTTTTTATAAGAAATGAATAGAAGAGTTCTTGACTGTTCGCTGGCGAAACTGAAACCAAGTAAAAACAAAGAATCAAGTGTTTCCTTTATTCACGTTATAACAGTTTGAAAACAGATGTTTGCTTTAAAGAAAAACACTTTTTTGTTAACTACGTACAAAAAACGTAAAAAGTTTTGCATTGCAAACATTGTTGTTACTACACAATAGAAACTTTATTATCTGGGCCCATAACCTATTGGGTTTTTAAGAAATTATACTTTTATTGAACACAAAACGCAATTTAAACAAGACATGTAAAATCTGAATAACTTAATAACAAAATCGTTTCCTGAACATACCGCTGACGTGAATTCACGTCTTTACAAATATTTTCTTTAAAAATATTTTATTCTTCTGCTGTTTTCCATTTGCGACTTCTTTAACGGAAAGTTCTTCATTTCAAACAACAGATTGTTAAAAGACTAATACTTCAAAACAAATTTTCTAATTTTTGTCTCTGTTTTAACGTCAGAAATTTACGTCAATTTACTTGAAATTTTCGTCGTTTACACCGGCAATGAATATTAAAGTAAGGAAGAATTTGCCGATCGTGACTATATTGAATAAGACGATATTTGTATAGCGATTCATACACACTTTTCTGACGCATACAAGAATGCACGTTATTCTACACAATAGTGTTAGGTTTTTTGTAGAATCGTTTATTAAACCAATCACTTCGAACATAAGTTCCATTTATGACAAATAATTCAATCATTTCAGTTTCACAGCGTCTGCGTGAATCATAAACGAAAGCGTCCCGTCATAAAATTGCCTGACTTGTTGCAGTATATGTAAACACACTGTGTCCACGTTTTCCGAGTTACATTTACATCTCTGGACTGATGAATATTAAAAATGCTCACGTCCGGTCATTGCTGATTGTGTAATTTTTAAAATTGAACCAGATAAAATATGCAATGGTTTGTATATATAACATTAATCTATTGAGGATTAATTTTTGATGATGAAAAATCGGTAAGCAGAAATCGATTTTCTTTATTAATGATTTTGTTGTGTTAAAAATAATTTCACTATTTTATTAACCGCTTTCATTTGAATATATTTTACTATGTTGCAGTAATTTTTTTAACATTTTTAATTGTATACAATATTATTTCATTATTCACTTATTTTGACGAAAATGAATAAAAACAAAGTAAATGTTAGTTTACATTTAAATTTTATAAATGATTATAGTAAACTGATATTTCTTTTTCATTGGAGAAGATTACGTTGTTATATATTTAATGAGCATAACTTATTGGATTACAAATAGTAATTTTTTAGTTGTTTAATAATAACTTTATTTAGTTCGGGAATTAATGTTCATATTTACGATTTTTTAAGTAATTTTCTACAAAAAATTTAAAGAAAAAACAGGAATGAAATAAAAACTTATCTTCGTTTTCAATAATATTCTTAGGTAAAATAAAAAATAATATTTATGTTACATTAGATGAATCAACTTGATGGTTTTGTAAAATAAATTTATCGGTTGCTTTCAAAAAATTGATTTTTCAGTTCTTAATCTATTAACTGTTATTACTAGTAAAACATATTAACTATTAACTTAATCTATTAATTATAAACATTTAATAAAAGACCATAACAACATGAAAGATTTCATATTTGTTTGAAAAAATAAATAACTTGTTGAAA